CCTATGCATTACTTATTTTTGTCTCTTATTTATCTCCATAATTGTAGTCTCCATGAGTTCTAGAAGATCCTCTAGGGACAAAGGGAAGAGGAGATTAGATGAAAACTATGACTCTCTACTTTTCGATTCTCATCAGCATGCCCTTAAATTTTCATCCATAGAATCTAGAAATGTTCATAAGGGTAAAAATATTGATTTAGATGAATTAAGTGATTTGGAACATATTCAATGGTTTGCTTATCTAGACATTCTCCCAATCCTTCAAATAAGTGAACCTATCTACCCTAGACTTGTTATGCTATTTTACAACAATTTACATATAGATGAAAACGAAAGGGTATCTACCTATATCTTAGGATCTTAGGACATCATATACCCATTACGGATAGCATAATTTGCAATTTAATAGGAATTACGGAAAAAGAAAAAGGCTATAATTTTAGAGGCCAATGGGATGAAAAATCAGTTGGGACCACTTATTCTGAAGCCTTAGGAACCATCTTCGGTAATCCTAACTTGTTTACTCTTCCAAAAAGCTATGAACATTTATTACCTTTCAACACCAAACTACTTTATCACATCTTGATAAGCATTATAATTCCAAAACAATATCATCGATGAAGTTAACCAAATGGAAGTATGAATGATGTATTGGATTATGAAAGGACATAAAATTTGTTTTGGCTACTTAGTTCAACAAAATATGATTGAACTATTGAAAAAGAATATGATGCTTCCATATGGTGGCCTGATCACAAGACTAATCCATGCTTATGGCATAGTTATCCCACCTGACGAAGAAGTTATGAAACTCGATAGATTTAATGTCATAAATAGAAACATACTTCGAAGATTAAGGTGTATATTCAGAAATGAGATATGGACTAGATTACCTAGAAGGACTGATCCCCTTCCACTTGAACCAGAACCTGAAACACCAATATTTAGGGGTAATCAATCTTCTCCTACTAGTCCCTTTGAGGCAACACCTCCAGCAAAGCAAGTCCCGCCCTCATCTATCAACGACATAGGGACTCGAATGGATCGATTTGAACAACGTCAATATAGATTTAAACAACGTCAAGATCAAATTTTAAATGAGTTGCAGCAGATTCATCAACAGCTTAATACCTTATTTAGACATTTTGACTTGCCACCATCTGAATAAGCTGTGTATGTCTTTTTACTGATGTCAAAGGGGGAGAAGTGGACGAAATCCTTATCTTTTATTGTGCTTACTTTGATGCTGTAATCTTATGTTGTTTACTTTGATGTTGTAATCTTAAAATGATGCTTATTTTGATGTTGAAACTCTGTGCTGAAAAATTCTATAACGTTGTGATCTTTTCAAATGCTAAAAATTTCTTTGATGTTGTGATCTCTTTATCATACAAATGATGCATTATCGGATTGTGAACTTTTGAATGCTACAATGCAATAATGATGATATTTCATACAAAGAGTGATGAAAGGCTCTGCCGAAACATTTTATCATGCATGAAGTGATTGTGCATTTAATATCTTGATGATTTAAAATTATGGTGATGCACAATGCATGTGATTTCTAAATCAAAGCTTGAATTCAATGTTGTGAATTCAAGTTTGTATGACATATAGATAGGGGGAATTAAGGTTAACTCCTTCACCAAATGGTTGACATCATAAAAAAGGGGGAGATTGTTGAATCTCGGATTTTGATGATAAAATCAATTGATAAATTGCTTGACCTAATATATGTGTTGAGATAAGTGTACAAGATTCACTACGATAGTAGTAATGCGTAAAGCAGATGATGTGCCGGAATCGAAGATTCGGACAATGTACTGGGAGCTTGTCGAGAGCTCGTCTAAAGATCGCCGAGAGTTCGTCGGAAGATCGCCGCGAGTTCGTCACCGGAAGCTCGTTGGAAGATCGTTGAGAACTCATCGAAAGATTGCCAAGAGTTCATCGTGAGTTCGCCAGAAGCGCGCCGGAAGACTCGCTGAGAGAAATCGACATACCGGACTAATCGCTTGCCTTAATCGTAGTTAGTACTTTAGTTGAGTTAGGATTGGGAGGTAATCCCACTAACTCAGATAGGGGCCAACTAGGCCCTTAACAGGGCTGAATTGGGTCGGATTGAACAGCCCATTCAGCACCTGAAATCATGGCCGGCGGTGGCACCGCTTGGGAGACCCAGTCTCCCAGGTGGTATGGGCGGTGGTACCGCCGATAGTTAATGCTGCCAGCGATGGTACCGCCCCTGTCAGGCGATGGTACCGCCAAAGCTCGGTCTCCGAGCTTTGTCAAGCGGTGGTACCGCCCAGTGTCAAGTGGTAGTACCGCCCAATAATGGAGGTGGTAGTACCGCTAGTATCCCGAAATCCGGGGATGTGACACTTTTTGACTCCAATTCTGAAGCCAATTGGGGCCTATAAATACTTCACCCTTGTTTGCATGAAAGGACACGAAAGCATTGGCATAATCCTGAATTCTTGAGTGTTAAAGTGTTGTAAAAAGTGCTAGAGTCCTCCTCCTCCCTTTCTAAGTATTGAAATCATTCAAGAGAGGTGTGAGACTTATAAGGGTTGTCTCCTAAGCCCGTGAAAAGGAGAAAGCGCTGTAAAAGGTGATTGGTCTTCGTCTATAGAAGGAAGGCCATTAGTGGATGCCGGTGACCTCAACGGAGGAGGAATCCGAAAGTGGATGTAGGTCACAACGACCGAACCACTCTAAATTCTAGTTTGCATTTCGTCTTGAGCAATTTACCTTTCTTGCAAGTCACTTTACCTTCTTACCGCTTTCTCTATGCTCCCACACGCTTTCAAGTTAAAATCTTTACGAAACGATTTTCGTTAAAATCGGGTTTAATCGAAATGAAGACTTTTGAAACGGGAAAGTTTTCCGCTGCACAAATTCACCCCCCCTCTTAGTGTCGTTCTTAATCCTAACACTAGGTGTCTAAAATGGCTAACGTTTTTTGGTCACTCCCTCATGAAAATCTCTGCACATTGCAGATTAAAGGTGCTATTTTTCGATAGTTTTGCCTCTACACGACAAGCACTCACAAGTTGTGCTTATAAGTTAGATAGGGCCACAAAACCCATCCAAAATGAGGTACCAAGCCTATTGCAAGCCACTTACGTACTACCTAAGGCATGAACAAAACTGAAAAGCACACACATCACATCGAACATTTAGACTATGAAAGGTTTATGACAAAGCACTTGCATGTTTCTTTTATATCATTTCTGACAAGAACATGCCAAGGCACATAATGACGTTCATACTCCAATGTTACCCTAGCCAAAGGACATCTTAACAAGTAGGGCTCTAAAAAATGCAATCCCATTTTTGCACAGCGCATCGATATCGAGGGTGGATTTGGTAAAGAAAAGCTTTATCTTATCTAAAGTATAGATAATTCCAAAGGGAAAGGCTTTATTTTATTTAAAGTATTAATAGTTTTGAAGAGCAAATCTTTGTATCTTATTAAAAGCATTTATAGTTTCATAAGAGAGCAATATTATCTAAAGATCTTGGTGCAAAGAGAAAACCAATGATTTAAAAAGCACTAGGCACCAAGGTCTAAAAACGCCCGAGGCGCTAGGCGCTCGCCTGAGCGAAGTAAGGCGCTAAAATATAAAAATATATAATATAATTAATAAATATAATTATTTAAATAAAAATATGATATTAAATTAAAAAATCTTACAAAATCATAATATCACATTAACAAAAAATCTTCAAATTCAAAACAATAACAATAATTTTAAATAAATAAAAATTAGTAATATTAAAATTAAAATAATATATTTTTAATCTAATAAATAAAAAAAATATTGTTACTTGTATATGGTTAACAGTATATTATCGAGTCGATGTGAGAAGAGGTAATAGCGAGCAACGACAGCGGGAGTCGGAGAGGCGAGCAGTGATAGTGGCAGCGGTAGCAGCGAGAAGCGGTAGCGGGAGTGGAAGCAACGAGCGACGACAGTGGCAGCAGCAGCGGTAGCAACGAGCAGTGGCAGTGGGAGCGGGACTAACGAGCAATGATAGTGGCAGCGAGAGCGATAGTGGCGAGCAGCGACAGCGGGAGCGGCAAGCAGCGATAGTGGCAGCGGTAACAGAGGGCAGTGACAGCGGTAGCAGCAGGAGTGATGACAGTGGCAGCGGTAGCAGCGGGAGCGGGAGTGGCGACAGCGGTAGCAGCGAGCAGCGATAGTGATGTGTAGGGTTAGGGTTGGGAAGTCGCGAGAGGAAGGTTGATATCGGTGCTTTAGTTGAACCAACTAAAGCATCGGAGACCAAACCAAACCTAAAACGTTGGTTCGGTCACCTGGTTTAACCAAGGCGCTCGCCCGAAGCGCCCGATGCCTGGGCTCGGGCGAGCGCCCAGGCGACGCCTCTTTGAAGCGCACCGCCTGGAAACGAAGTAAGGTGCTCGGGCCTCGCCTTGCCTCGCCCGAGCGCCTAGGCGAGCACCCATTGAAATCACTGGAGAAAAATATTATCTGTAGAAGCTCATAGTGATCTCGCTAGATCCAAATGTTAAAAATAAGAGTACAATTAGATTTCTGAACAAAGGGACATGTTGGCTCCTAATTCATTAGATTCACTTTTAGCTCCTTATCCATTTTTCATGAGTAAAAAAAGCTCTTGAAACACAAGACCAAGTAAATATGGACAAACAACATCATTCATCACTAGCAGATCATAGCAAGTTCTATAAAGAGAATCTCTAGTATATACAAGATAACAGATACTGCATTTAAGAGCCTCAACGTCAAGAAAATGGCAAATCAACATAAAACCCATATAATGAGTATAATGAAAAAATAAAATTTTTAATACCCAAAAGGCATTAACAAGAGTATCAGCGAAAATTGATGTTATACGTTAGAACAAGCTAGAAACACTATACAAAATACGAAAAAACAAAAATTAAGAAAAAATTATCTACACTAATTTGGCAATTTTATTAGACTAATCAGAAAGAAATAGCATGGAAAGAATATTACCCTCTCCATAGTGAGCTGCTAAAATATCAGGAGGAATTCCTTGCATTCCATAAATCTCGATCTCTGTTGATTCTCTATCAGGTTTGGCATTGGGAACTCTGAATGAAAGCGATTGAAATTCAGAGCACAAACCAAGAACACTAGGATGAAAATTTAATCAACACAATGAAAAAGACAATAAAATGATAGAGATCCACCTGTGAGACAACCAAGTGACATGCTTATCATGATTCATGGCATGGAACATACATTAGAGTCGAGCTAGTAACCTATACCCTAAAGGTATGATCCTCGATTATTGTTCAGGATCAATCATGTGGGCTCCAACTCAAGGTCAGCTTTGTCAAATATGACCAATACACATGCAGAATGTGTAAAAATAATCTATTTTGAATCTACCTATGCATTAACAAAAAGTCACTATGGCATTGAAAGGTTTGGTAGGCATGCAACTAACAGAACTGAGATGGTCAGTGGTTTGGATCGTTATTAGAAATGGTTAATGAAACAATTAATGAATGAGTGCTCTTTATATCATTCAATCTTTTTTTTTTTGGTTCGACGATCATGAAAAAATATTCTCAAAATAACGCGGAACCTATGTATCTGAAAAACATTACTGATTAATTAGAATTATAATTATCGATTAAGGGCACAGAGGAAAATGAAAATCGCTCATCAGGATTTAATCCCAAAAAACGAAAACAAGAACAACAACCAAAATAACATTCTTTAACATAAAAAAGAATCAGCAACCCACATATCATTCATCGGTCACAGATCAGGGGCATCAATCGAGTTCGCCATCATATGCAGAAAACAAGACTACGCAAGCATAAGGCAAATGATCTTCGTCAAGAAATGATTAAGGGTTTTTTGAAGCGATTGTGGAATCGGGAGCGAGGGGTTACTTGGTGACCGTCTCCTTGTGGACTTGGAGGACGTGGATGGCCATGCCACCGGCGGTGGAGAGCTTCTTGTGACATACATGGCACTTGAAGTGCTTGGCCTTCTGATGCTGGACAAGGATCTTCTCGTCGTCGAACACCCGATCGCAGTAGTAGCACCACACCTTCGACGGGCGCTTCTTCTTCTTCCCCATCGCTGCGACCCTTTATCGTAGGAATCAGTTTTATGATCTCTCTTTGTTCGATCGGACGCCGGAGCGTTCGGAGATCAGGGTTTTGGAGACAGCCGATCAAAGAGGAAACCGAATGGAAGAAATTTCCCGTATCGAAAATAAACAGGGGAAGACGCAGCGAGCGGCAGACTGGTTTCCTGCGCTCCTTGCGTTGAGATTTGCGAACCTCCGAACCCGATCGATGTTAATGCGGGTTTGGTAACATAGGGTGGACCCGGTAAGGAAGCAAGTGCGGGACCCGTTTTTCGCGGAAGAAGTAATAAAGAAGCCAGAGGTCTTTGGAGCTTTCGGCTTCAGTTAAGAGGAAATTTCTGTGATATAAATCGTGGTTCCCTTGCTATATAAAATAGAAACAAAAAGAATATATAGGATTTTGAAATGCCAAATTAATTAAAAATAACTTTTTTAACAGTCCTAAAATAGAAATAATTATTTTTTTTTTACGATTTCATCTGCTTTTTTCAAGGTTCCATGAAAATTTTGGTAAAAAAAATTATAATTTCAGCTTTTAAGATTCAGTTAATTAAAAAATAAATCCTTTAATTGTCCAAAAATATAAACAATGGTCAATTAGGGCTTTTCTAGACATTTATAAGATTTCATAAAAATTTTAATTTTTTTGGAGAAAAAAAATCTTAATTACATTTTTATTAAATAGGACACTAAAAATAGTATAATCTCATTCAAAAATTAATATAACTAAAATTTCAAAAAGATTCTAAAAATTTCATAAAACCAATTCTAATAATATTCAAATGATTTTTAACCTAAACTGATTCTATATCCACATTAAATTTGCTAAAAGTTCAAAAAAAATATTATAGGTTTTTAAAGTTAAATTAACATAAAATAAACATTTTGATGGTTCAAAAATAGTAAAAATTATCATTATTTAGGGCTTTATCTAGTATTTTTCAAGGTTTCATTAAAATTTAGGTAAAAAATTATAATTACATCTTAAATTGATCAAAAATAAAAAAAAAATAAAAAATCTCAGTTTTTTTAGGTTAAATTAGCCCGAAAATAGGTTTGTTAATAGTCCAAAAATAGAAACCATGGTCATTTAGGGCTTTTGAAGAAGACTAAAAAATATTGTAACACCAATCTCACGTAAATAAAAATAGTTACTGATTCATAAGTGATGTATTGGGGACAATGAATTTTTTTGAATTTCTAGAGCCAGTATTCTTTAGATCATAAAGAATTCTAGTATGGAAAGTAATTCTTATGAATAAAAAAAAACCCTCAAAATTTAAGGTTTGATTGTTCAATATCTATTTCATGTATTTCTAGGCTATATTTTTTGGTGGGGGAGAAGATGTGAGGAATTTAGAAATGATGAGAAAAAAGAAAAAAAAATAAGTTGAGGTTAACACAAAAGTATATAAATTAATTTCAAATGATCGAATAATTAAGTTTTTCTCTAAAGTGAAGATAGGTAAGGAGTGCTAAACTATATAAATTTTATTATTTTTATTTGATTGTTTATTTTTAAGATTTCTCTTTTGGTTTGAGCTTTTTCTCTTCCCAACAAGTTGATATTAGATCATAAATGTTTTATTCGAACAAAGATTCAACATGGATGATGTCAATTATTTTTATAAAGATATTTGAAGGTATATCTTTTTGTTCGATAAGATATAACAAGAAATTAAATGGTTGAGAAAGAAAAACTTAAAAAGATGAATGAGGAAGACGTTTAAAGAAAGGTATCTTTTCTGCCAGGGATACAAAGCGTCTAAAAATTCTCTCACCAGGTAAAAAAAAAAGATGGTGCCCAATTCTATTTTATTTTATTAGATACAGTAGTATTGATATATGTGATTGATTATATGTACACCTGTTTGTATATTATATGAAAACCCTATATGTTTAACCGGGGGCTCGGTGGCAATACATGTCAGCTCGATCGACGCTAAGGATCCGTACCCGAAAAAGAAAACGAAAAACACTTCGGGTCGGATTCGGGTCGGGCATTTTACGAGAGTTTTGGGAGTCGTTTTAACGGCCCAGGCTTGGCGTCGAAGTCTGCGCCAACCGGATGTGGTACTTCAAAGTCTGTTAGTTGGATACGGGTCGGGCATTTTCGGAGAGTTTTGGGATTAGCCCATTTAACGGCCCAGGCTTGGCGTCCATATCCATTTAACTGGATATGGTACAGAGAGTCTGAATCCACGATGGCATTGGAGGTTTGCCGTAAAGAAAGGGGAGCTGCACCGCGTTCGGATCTGATTCTTTACAGACGGACCGTGGGAGAAGCCGAGAAGGGGGCGAAAAGGCGGCGGCGGCCATGGCAACTCCCGATCCCGATAAACTCATGGCCAAGGCCGACAAATTGTAAGCCCTTTTCTTCATCTACCCCATGATCACTCTGTTTTTTTGTTCTTTCCTCTGTTCTCCGTCAATCTTTTTTTCGGGCTTTCCTTTTCCCGGTTCGTTTTACCTGATATTGATGTTTCTTATAATCTCGTTTAATGTTATTATTGTGATCGATTCTTTCTTTTCTGGATCCATTCATCAGATCAGAAATCATGTTGGTTTGAAATTAGGCATAAATCCTCACAAAACCCTGAAAACTCTTATCTTTTAGTTCCTTGCTTAGATTGACGTTTGAGTTTTAGAAATGTATGTGACGACGTTGATCGGATATAGGCAGTCATTGAAGTAAATGTCACACATCATATTAAAGGAGACTTTTATTGTCATTCTGTTGGCAGATTAATTTCATAATAGTGGCGTCGATACAATAGAATATGGCTTTTTGTCAATTTATATTGGTAGTGGCGTCGATTCAATGCAGATGAAATATGTATTGTGTTTTAACAAGACCAACTCTAGGATGTGGAAGTATATGATTATTTTCCTTTAGTTGTTCCTGTATCTTGCTAAGGAAATAGTTTGCACAACTTGATTCTTTTATATATTTTGTAAGATCTCTCCTATTTCAAGCGAGCTCTAATTTTTGAAGGACTGATGTCGTTGTAATTTTGATTATTTCTGTTAATTACTTTGTTATTAGATTCCTAAACCATCCCAAACTGCTGGAAGACTAACAATAAACTGCTGTTAAGAAAAGTGAATCGTATAAGATATACTATTTGAGTATTTGCATCTATTTCCAGCCTATATGATCCTGGTCTAGGCTGGATGAGGCTCGACAGCTCTTAGCCAGCTTCACTTGGAGTTCAATCCCGTCCCAATTGAGCAGTCAGGATTTACTTCCTGCTTCTGTACTTTTTCTTACTCCTATCCCATTTAGGAGTTTCTCTTTTATTGTGAAGTCCTTCCAATTTGTTGTTGATTGCTGTCCTACTAATAATAGGAAAAAGGTTTTTCAAATCATACTTGGAGCCTCCATTGACCTTCCAATTAAAGTACCAAGCTTTTATTGCGAGTCATTGTTGTTTCTGGGTGAAAATATCTCACATAAGTTGCTACATCAGCAGCCACATGTGATAAGCCCTGCTGGAGTTGGAGCTGGTTGCCCAGGATAGCCCCCAACAGGTCTGTTCAAGTCCCTAAACTGGCTGGCCTGGCTGATATGGTCTACTCTTGAGTCGGGTTTGACATCATCTCCAATCTCCTTCATAACAACGTGCTACATTGGACCTAGAGGCTTTCCTAGGCAATAGATTTAGGTAGATGGTTGGTCAGTAAACTGAGCTGTGACAATTTACATGTATTGGAGCAATATGGTAAAAGAGTAACAGTAATGATGGAAGAGGAAAGCAGAGCAAGATCTTAAAGTATATACTATTGTTAGTCGATCAATGATTGTAAAGGTGAACACTGACAGTAATGATGAACGAGTACACTAGAGCAAGGTTTTGAAGTATATGTTGTTGCTGTTTGATCAATAATTGTAAAGCCTGTTATTACGCTTATCAAAAGCATGACAAATTTTTTGGCAGTTGGGCTCTTTTGACAGTTTGACACGAGAGTGCCTAATTTGCTACAATCTGCTCATATGGACTTTGCTGATGCTATAGTATATTTTCCAGCCCATAATGTTGCCTCATAGTTTTCAACTCAACCCACTCAAATATGACAACTCATGAGCATATTCTTTGGATAAAGTTACAGTTATTTCAATATGTTTTTCTTCATGACCAAGGAATGCATTAAAGAAGTTAGTTACCAATTGTAAAACACTTAATTTCGAAATTTCCTATGCATAAAGGGTTGTTTCATGCGGTAGTACTTATTTTGGTGTTTAGGGGTTAGAAAAGAACTTTAGAAACTAATGATATTGACAGAAGTTCTCTTGGAGTGCTTTCTTAAACTCTGTATCTCTTGGATACGTCCTTGAGTGGTGAGTCTTTTGTTTTTAGTTCTGTATCCTTGTTTATTATCCTTGGGGTGGTGATCTTTCTGTATCCCTTTATGATTTTAAACTTGGTGGTGAGCTTTCTTTTCGATTTTATTAAAGTTTTATCGTGAGTTCATTCCTTTCCTACTATCGACTTTCTTCCGAAATCCATTCAACATTACCCTCCGGTGTCAGTTTGGTATCAGAGCTAAATGTTAGAGATCATAGCAAGGCGGAATGGAAAAAATATAGTTGGTGAAGGTAGTGGCCATGAAGTTGATATTGAGTCGTTGAGGTTGTAGCTATGAAGATTGCTGCATAGTCCAAAAAAAAAAAAAATTGAAGAACTTCAAAGTAGAACAACCAGCATAAAATTGATGTCCAAGAGTTTACTTCTGATGATGATACACCTCATTCAAGGGAGTCGAGAAGATTTTGTGCAAGACATGAAGTTCAAGACGAGTGGCAGAACAAATACAACCCAAGATTGAATATTCTAGAGTTTGAAGGTAAAATAAATGTTGATGACTTTATCGATTCGCTTAATACAGTAGAAAGAATTTTCGATTTTCATGAACCACTAGAACAAAAGAAGATAAAACTTGTGGCACTCAAACTCAAACGGAATGCATCATTTTGGTGGGAAAATCTGAAGAAACAAAGAGAATGTGGGGGGAAGAATAAGATCGTGACACGGGAGAAAATGAAAAAGGAACTGAAGAGAAAATATGTACCTGACAATTATAAGCAAGAGATCTTTCTCAAAATCCACGGTGTCAAGCAAAAAGTTCTTAGTGTGGAGGAGTACACAGCAGAATTCGATAATCTCATGTTAAAAGGAGAGCTTGTGGAACCAAAAGAGCAAACCATTGCAAGATACTTAGGAGGTCTAAAGTATGAGATTGCTAAAGTTGTTCAACTGCAGCCATATTGGCCTTTAAATGATGTGAACAAGTTGGCATTAAAAATTGAAAAGCAACATAAGTTTAAAAAGAGTTCTCGGTATGGTTCAAAATAAGGCTATACAAAAGGAGGAAGCTCCAAGCCTATTGTCCAAAGCAAGGTGATATCGAAGGTGTAAGACAAGGGTGAATAATCTGCTAGCAACAAAAAAACACCTAATTCTTCTGCCCCAAGTGGTCAAAAATGCTTCAAATATCATGGTTTTGGACATATTGCTTCAGATTGTCCAAATAAAAGAATTGTTACTTTGGTTGAAGATCATAGTGATGGAGGAGATGATAAAGCCGACGACGAACCAAAATACGATAATGATGAGGAAGAGGTTACTTATGCTGATCATGGTTTGTCTATTGTATTGCAACGTAGCTTACAAGCATCCTATGTGGCTGAGGATGAAAGTTGGGTGAGAAAGAACGTGTTTCACACTAAATGCACTTCTTATGGCAAGGTGTGCTTGTTGATCATCGATAGTGGCAGCTTTAAGAATATGATATCTTTGGAGATGGTGCAGAAGCTAAAGTTGGACACAATCCCTCATCCACATCCTTACCAATTATGTTGACTGCAAAAAGGAATGACATCAAGGTAACTAAAAGATGTTTAGTTTCATTTTCTATTGGAAAATATTATAAAGATTAAGTATGGTGTGATGTTGCTCCTATGGACGCTTGTCATTTGCTGTTAGTAGACCTTAGCATTATGATAGAAGGGTGTTGTATGATGGCTACAAACATACTTATGCTTTTAAAGTAAATGAAAAGAGGATTATTTTAACTCCATTACAACCTTCTGAAATCAGTGTACTAAAGAAGGAAGTTAGTGCTTTTATATCCTATGGTGAATTCAAAGGTGAATTAGATAGGGGTGGTCATGTTTTGACTTTAGTGGTAGTAGAGGAGAATGAACAACACAAGGAGGCACCAGCAATCACAAAACTAATCCTGGAGGAGTTTCAAGATGTTGTACCGGAAGAGATTCCACGTGACCTTCCACCTTTAAGAGACATCCAACATCATATTGATCTTATTCCGGGAGCTATTCTATCTAACAAGACAGCCTATAGAATGAGTCCGAAGGAGCATGAAGAACTTCAAAGGCAAGTGGATGAATTGGTGAAAAATGGGTTAATTCGGGAGAGCACGAGTCCTTGTACGGTTCCAGTCTTATTGGTGCCTAAGAAGGATGATTCTTGGAGAATGTGTACGGACACCATCGACAAAATCATAGTGGATTATCGTTTTCCCATTCTAAGGTTAGATGATTTACTTGATCGATTGTGTGGTGCTTCTATTTTCTCTAAAATTGATTTGAGGAGTGGCTATCATCAAATAAGAATAAGGCTTGAAGATGAGTGTAAAACAACATTTAAAACTATAGAAGGATTATATGAATGGTTGGTTATGCCATTTGGGCTATCTAATGCTCCTAACACTTTTATGAGATTTATGAATTATATACTTAATCCTTGCATTAGGACTTTTATTGTGGTTTACTTTGACGATATATTGGTGTACAGCAAAAGCGAAGACGAGCATATGAATTATCTTAAAGAGATTTTTTATTTTGAGACAACAAAAGCTTTATGCTAATATGAAAAAGTGCTATTTTTTTACTTATAATGTAGTGTTTTTGGGGTATGTTGTTTCGAAAAATGGAATCATGATAGATCAAAGCAAGATAGAAGCTATTCTCAATTGGCCAACACCTGCTTTATTGCATGATGTGAGGAGTTTCCATGGCTTAACTTCCTTTTACAGAAGATTCATCAAGGGTTTCAACTCTATTATCGCTCCAATCACCGAGTGTCTGAAATGTGATAAATTCAAATGGACTAGTAAGGCTAATGATGCTTTTGAACTTTTAAAAAGAAAGGTGACCGAATCTCCTATCTTAGTACTACCTAATTTTGAAAAAGTGTTTGAAGTTGAATGTGATGCATTTAATGTGAGAATTGAAGTTGTTTTGAGTCAAGACGAAAAGCCCATTACTTTTTTTAGCGAGAAGTTGAATGATACAAGAAGGAAATATTGTACCTATGACAAGGAGTTTTATGCAGTGATTTAAAAAGCGCTAGGCGCCAAAAGGCGCCAAGGTCCAAAAACGCCCGAGGCGCTAGGCGCTCGCCCGAGCGAAGCGAGGCGCTAAAATATAAAAATATATAATATAATTAATAAATATAATTATTTAAAATTTTAAATAAAAATATGCTATTAAATTAAGAAAATATAAGATACAAAATCACAATGTCACATTAACAAAAAGTTTCAAAATTCAAAACATTAACATTTTACATCAAAGTCATTCATCATAATCAATATTATCGTCATTTTCACACAGATCATCTTCATTGAATTCGTCTTCTTCCTCTTGTTCTTCGATTCCTTCCTCTTCATCAAGATATGTTTCATTCTCTATGTCTTCAACAATAGCAGGAGCCGAGCTTGATGCTTTTGCACTCATTTTTCTCTTTGACATATGTCTTGTATATGTTTGTAATTCTCCAGCACCTGAAGCTCTTGCCACATCTCCCCACGTTAATCTATCATCTTCAAATACAAGTTAGCACCCATTTCTCCTACTAACCACTCATTTGAATCATCAATATCTTGCAATGAGATTGAATCAAATCTATTTTTCAAATCATGACGAGTCTTCAAAGCTTGATTATACTTTATGTAAACAAGATCGTGCAATCGTTGATGTTCTAACTGATTTCTTCTCTTCGAGTGAATCTGTCATGTCATATAATTTAAAAATATATTAATACATATATCTAAATAAATAAATTAATTAAAATAAAAATATTTAGCAATACTTACATGCTCAAAGACACTCCAGTTTCGCTCACAACCCGAAGCACTACATGTCAAACTAAGTACTTTGACAGCAAATTTCTGTAAGTTCGGGGTGGAATTTCCAAATAGACTCCACCATTCAGCTGCAAAATTTATGTTATTATTAGCAATAACATAGTAACATAATATATATGAAATTAATTATATCAAATTATTAATACCTGGAGAGGTAGTTGTCCTGGATCGAACGACAATTGGAATTCCAAAAAGACCTTCAACATTTTTATATAAAGATAATTCATGAATAATCTTATCTTGAACCTCAATGCTGGGAACTAATCTTGCAACATACTGATATAACCCACCCAAAACTTCTGCATCAAATCCAACAGATTTAATCTTATAAAAGAATTCAGGGTTCAAATAATATCCTGCTGCATGTAAGGGACGATGAAGTTGACAATTCCATCTTTCGTCAATGATTGTAAAAATTTTCTCATATTTTTCTTCATTTTCATTAAAAGATTTTTTAATCGTCTCCTTTGCTCTATCCATAGCCTCATAAATATATCCCATTGCAGGCTTATTTTCATTATCCACCAATCGAAGGACTCGAACAAGAGGGCCCATTACCTTTAATATATAAACTACATGATTCCAAAAGGATGTCATTAAGATGATATCAGCAGCCCTCTTGCCTTTTGCTTCTTTTGCCCATTTGCTTGTCACCCATTTCTCAGAGGTAAACATATTTCTCAGAGTATGTTTTTGACGATGCACGCTCTGTAATGTCAAGAATGAAGTAGCAAATCGGGTAACACCATGTCTCACTAATTCTTTATTCCCTGTAAATTCTCTCATCATATTCAAAGCCCCAATGTGATTATAAAGAAATCCAACAACAAATATTGCCCTTTCTAAGGTTTTCTTGATTTCTAAGATCTTTCCAATATCTTCCAACATTAAATCAATACAATGTGCTGCACATGGAGTCCAATACAAGTGTTGTCTTTTTTATTCAAGCAATTTACCTGAGACAAAGGATAACAAAAATGATAAGACTTAAGAGTTTAACACACTTAATTGAAGATAAAATAATTAATAAAATCAAAAGATGAATATTACT